TTGTTTCACTGTACATGTTAAAGAGGTCTGGTGACATAACACATCCTTGCCTCACTCCTCGTCTGATCTGCTTATATTCACTGTATTCTCCATTAATTCGTACAGCAGCGTTTTGGTCCCAGTACAAATTTCTGATAATTCTTATATCTTTTCCATCTATGTCTAGCTTTTCCAGCTCATCATGTCTAATTTTATCGAACGCCTTTGAATAAACTATGAAGCATAAATACAGATCTTTCTGTGCTTCAATACATCTTTCCATTAACATTGTTAAGGTGAATATAGCATTAATTTCTGGTGCCCTTGTCAGGAACAAAGCCGAATTGCGTTCTAGGTATCTCTGGTCTTTCACTTTTTCTCAATCTTCCCATTGTTACTCGCAGCAATATTTTTGTAAAATGACTCATAAGGCTAATTTTTCTATGCATATCACACTCAGTGGCACCTGGTATTTTAGGTAAAGCTATAAAAACTGATTTCTTCAGATCTTCTGGGATTTCACCGCTGTCATAAATAGCATTTAGGAGCTTTGTGGTTATTTCAGTGCCTAGTTCTTCAAGCGCGACAATCACTTCAACTGGAATATTATCTGGCCCTGTGGCTTTTTCTTGTTTTAATTTTCCAAATGGCAGCTTGTACTTCTGCTTTCAGTATTGGAGGTCCATTTATTTCATTCTTTATTACCGTTTTTTCTCCTCTATTACAATTATCTTTGAAAAGTTCTTCTATGTATTCTGACCATCTGTTTAAGACATCCCCGTTGTCCATTAAAATATCCCCTCCCTTTGATCTTATGCATCCTGTGTTTGAGCATCCTTTTATCTCACTTTTTAAATTTTGGAATGCATGTATTTGCTGTCTTTGTTTTGGTTCTTCTCTATTAGTTGACATTGATCATTTATCCAGGTTTCTTTTGCTTTCTTGCATTTTTTCTTTATTTCCCTGTTTAAGATGTTGTACTTTTCCACATTTGATTTTGCCTTTCTTCTCTCTTCCATTAGTTTTAATATGTCCTGGGTCATCCATTTTTTATTAGCTTTTTTAGCTTTCGGGGGGATGTTTTCTTCCACAGCTTCTATTATTGAGTCTTTCATTAATTCATTTTCCTCCATAGTTCTTCCGATTTAGTCATGTTTTCCAAAGCTTGAAATGTATTTCTTACATCTAGATCTATGGAGAAACGTTCTTTCAGTTTTTGATTTGTCTTTAAAAGACCTACGTCAAATTTAGGTTGATACTTTGACTTTTGAGTTTCTTTAGTCTTATCAATTGATATTGATAATTAATAGTGATATTATTATTGATATGTTGGTCTTGACGCATTTCTTGCTCTCCCGCCGTTGCTCCGGTTGTGCGCATACCCTTTTCAAGTGTTTGAATAGAACACTGTACATTTCTACTTGCAACCTCGTCATCTGTAAGACATCTAGTGTCTTTATCTTGGGGATCATGCTCTTAAAGGCGTGTAATGTATATTATAATAATATAGCAAAAAATTCGGTAAGAGCCGTTTAGGGTGCTTGAGTCCGAAACGTGTTTTACGCCGCCGTGTTTAAAGTTGTATCACTTCGCTTTGCCGCGCGTCGCAGTTAATGCTGTCTTGTTTCAAATTTCAAACAATGATCCCTTGTTTGTTTGTTTGAGGGGGGGGGGGGGGGGG